GTCATACACCCCTAACATCTCAACTCCTATAATTTCTAAGGCATTTATTTCCCAACAAATGCATAACAACACATCAAAAGATTCACTACAACGCACAAATACATCACATCACCTAATTAATTAAAATAAAATAATTCAAATGAAATCAGGGTGTTACATGCTTGGGACAACCATTTGTTATTGATTTGAGTTTACATACAATAATAGTTTCCATGCAAGTATTGGGATGACACTGTATGAAGCGTTGTATGGTAGGAGGTGTAAAACTTCATTGTGTTGGTAGGAGTCAAGCGAAAGTGATGTGCTCGGACCTGAGATTGTACAGGAGACGACTAAAAAAATTAAGATAAACCAAGAGAGGGTAAAGGCTTCTCATAGTCTCCAGGAGAGTTACCATGACGAGAGGAGAAAGACTCTTGAATTCCAAAAAGATGATAGTGTGTTTTTAAGAGTTACTCCAGTGACTGGTGTTGGTAGAGATTTGAAGTCGAGAAAGCTTATGCCGTATTTTGTTGGCCCATATCAGATATCAGAGAAGATATGAAGTGGCCTATCAGATTACTTTACCGTTGTCGCTTGTGAATCTTCATGACGTGTTTCATGTGAATAAAAGGACGAAAAGTGAAGCAATTGCAAGGTAAAGACATCGTCTTAGTGAAGGTATTGTAGGGTGGACCAACTGGTGAAAGTTGAATGTGGGAACGCGAGGATAAATGAAAGAGTCTTATCCAATTGTGTTTCTTCCAGGTGATTTTCGAGGGCAGATTTTTTTTAAAGTGGGGTAGAGTTATACCACCCAAAAATAATTATTTATTTAATTATTTAATTGTGAATATTGTGTATATTTGTGCTGTATCTATGAGTATATGTGATATTTTTATGTATGTGAAGTGATATTGAGTGTTTTAGCAACTTTAGATAATTAGTTTCAATTATTTAGAATTATTAGTAATTAAATAAATAAAATAATAAGAGGTAGAGAATATGAGGACAAGGTAGTAATATTGTGAAGTAAGTAGGGGTAAGATGGAAAGACCATAGAAAGGGTCCAAGGGTTAAACAAGGAAAAGTGAGTGACATTGTTCATTCTGCGATCATGAAATTGAGAAGAATGTTGTGAAGAAAGCTAGGCACCGAGGAACTCAAAAGGATCTATAGAACACGAAGAGGAATAGACTGCGACTAGGAATATAAGGTAAGGGGAGTTTATCATTGTTATTATAATTGGTTTAGGGCTAGATAATTGTAGGTTTGTGTTTGTGTTTTGGTTTAGGATGGTATTATGATAATTTGATGAGAATTATGAATTTGTGATGTTGTTTTACCATGAATTTATGTATATGATGTATATTAGAATGTGTTGTCAATGTATGGTGAAACTATATGAAGTTATGATGATTTGGAACCTGTACTGTATTAGATTTGTGTAGAATAGGGACTGATTTGGTGCAGGAAAATGCAGCAGAGAACCTCTATTCACGAAGACTCGCCAGACGAGCCTTAAGCTTCATCGGGAGAATGAACTCGCCCATGACGCGCCAGGTGAGAGGGAGGCATGATATATTTGAGTTTGGCAAGCCCCTGGAATTTTGTATGGGCGAATTGGGAGTGAGGGGAGCTCGTCGAGTGAGCTACATACTTCACCGAGCGAGAATGGTTGAATAAAAATAATGTTATTGGAATTTGAATGGGGAAGGTCTTTCGCCCTGTCTTCGCCGGGTGAGCCTCAGGCGAGGGACAAATGTAAATTTTTGAAAGTATCTTAACTTGAGTTTCAGAACTTTGTTTGATGCGTCATTCGAAGCATTGAATAGCTAACGAAATGAACTATAACTAGGTGAAATAAAATGAGTAATAAGATGTAGAATTATATTACCTATTCTATAATGAAATTAGACTTCTCCGTGATGGACTACAATGACATGTGTCATTTGATGAGTTATTGATACTGTGACAATATTATGTTGTTGCTATGATGATCTGATGATTTCGTGATGATTCTATGTATGTGTATATATATGATGTATGTGATGGCCTTATTATGATTACATGAATGAATGATGCATTTTGATTAATCGTGATCATGTTTATTGTGTTGTTGCGCATCATGCATTCATGGCATATGTTAGAACTCCGGTCCAGTAATTTTGTTAGGATAATTGGTCGAGTGGTGATGATAGGACGATAGTCCAATGATGGCCTCAATCCTATAGTGTGTATTGAAGGAAATATTATAATGTGCTCTGGTTCCAAGCGGGAATCAATCCTATTGGTGGGGATCTTTGGAGAAACGATGACTGAGTAATTAGTGAAGTTTTGGTACCACATGCATGAGTCTAACGGAGTTGCATTATATTCTTTGTAACATTGCATAATGGTTGATTAAGTGATGCTTTGTGAATATGTGATGTATTGATGAGGATCGTTGACTGATGATATGATGGTGCTATGAATAATTGATGAATTGAAGGTGTGAGTATAACATGAAGTTTTAATGGTGTGTGATGTTTTTCTATTATATTGTAACTATTATATCTATTCCTTATGTCTTTTATAATGATTATGATTACTCATTCTTTCTGCTTGGAAATGTTACCTTTATACATGGGTAACTTGCAGATGGTCAGGATTAGTGCATTAAAGCTTAGAGGATTAGCTTTGGAGTGTGTCATTTATTTCCGTTGATTTTAGAAGATTTTGCTCTGGTATGTAACATCGGGGTTGAAAATGTTTATTGTGAAACTATTATATTTTATTGTTTATTTTGAGATGATGAGTTACCTTTCATGGCATTTAGTTGTTTGATTTATGAATCACAAACGATGAAGTGTGAGGAAGACTCTGTGAAGTATTTTCAATAAAGATATTTTTGAGACTATGATTCCGCTGCAATAATTTGAATTTTTGATATTTGATGATAAAGAATTATTTATTTTAGATGTTTTGAAAATCTCTGTTATGGAGCAGGATATTTTATACGATGTTTTTATGAAGATGTGACGCCCTTGTTGGTGATTTTATTTGATTTAATTTCGTAAAAAAATATGTGAAATGTATGTGGATTTAGAAGGGTATTACAAAGTACAATCAAAAGTACAAATACAACACTTCATGGTGAATATCTGCCACGTTTGACCTTACAAAAGTTTCCCCTACACTTCATCATCATCGTCTAAATCATAAAAGACATTATCTTCATCATCAGAAGAGTCTGTAGGAGTTTTATTCTTCTTGGGCTTACTCTTCTTTGACGTCTCTAGAGCCTCCTTAGGCCCGTAGGTATCAGGAACTGGATGTGGCTCAGGAGGGTTAGCCTCCTTTGGTTGTTGCTCAACATTTTGATTAACTGCTATGGCTTCCTTGAGCAAAGTAATCTCAAGGGTAATAATGATCTTCGCACCTTCGTCTGAAGCACTCATTATTTTGATCTAGATGAACTTGAAAGATGATTTTGAGTGGTTTTGCAAACTAAGAAGGATATGGTTTTATAATAACCCGTTGGAAGATTAATCATGTTTGTGTGTTACTTCTTTTTCTTTGGGAGTCTAAACACCAACAGTTGTTAAATACATGCTACCTAATCCTTATGACATATTTTCACATCCCGATTTCTATTTCGTTGCTTTATGACAAGTTATTGACTCACAACTAAAGAAATAATTCTGTTACGCATGATTCTAATTTCAAAAATGTATTTAATTTCTCCCATGTCTTTCATGGAAAATGACTCTCCCAACTTCTTATTTAACCTGTTAATGTTAGAAGTATTTTTTCCCACAATAAACATATCATCAACATATAACAATATGATAATGAAGTCATCATTAGAAAATTTTCTAACAAAGACACAATGATTTGAAGTAGTCTTCTCGTATCCTTAATCACACATAACAAACTCAAACCTCTTATACCATTACCTTGAAGCTTACTTCAACTCATATAGACTCTTTCTCAATCTACAAACATGATCTTCTTTGCCTTTAACTTGAAAACCATCAGGTTATTTCATGTAGATCTCTTCCTCTAAATTGCTATGAAGGAAAACCGTTTTCACATCCATTTGTTCAACCTCTAAATTAAGAGTATCAGCCAAACTCAATACGGTTCTGATTGATGACATCTTTACAACAGATGAAAAAATCTCATTAAAATCAACACCCTTTCTTTAACAGAAATCTTTCACAACTAACCTAGCTTTATATTATGAGCTTAATTAATCATGATTGACTATCATTAGTTAATAATTGATTCTATTTAAATGATATTGTCTAAGTGTGTATCATTTGTATGGATGTATCTGATGTTGTTTTGTGATGTTATATGATGTGAATGTGACTAAAATTGTTAGATAATGTATGATTATATGGTGATTAATCATGTGTTCTTGACAATATGATAAATAGTTTAGAAAATAGGACTATTTGTGTGGTGATATGCATAATTGTTAAATAGTAGTTCAAAAGGGGAAATGTGTGCTATGCATGAGTATTTATAATTAGAAGGACAACCTTAAACATTATTGTTGTTGTTGTATTGATTTTTATAAAAAGGAATAAAAGGAAAAAATTAAGAGACATCATAGAGATATATTGTATATTGTAATTAGAGAAGTAGTAAGATATTTGATGTTTTCTATATTGTATAGATACTTCAATTTAAAATATTTTTATTTTCTTCTCCGGTAAAAAAGAAATTCAGACAAGAAAAAAAAAAACTCGCCAAATTAAACTCAAAAAGAAAATAATTCGAACGAAACCATTCCCAACGCGTAACGCCCCGTTACAGTTCAACAAGTAGAGCGAAAACCAATTTCGGTTGAACGGGGTGTTTATCCAATCCCAACAACACAAAAATTGATCATCAATAATCATCATCAAATCAAAATAAACAATCGTAATCAACAAAATTAGGTTAGATTTTGATTCAGATCTTCATTTCCGAATTCTGAATTCTGAATCTACAAAAATAACAATCATCAATTTTCCGGTTCAAGTTCAAGCATGGATAGCATAATGAGCAAGCTTCGGAATCTCGATGCGTATCCGAAAATCAACGAAGATTTCTATAGTCGCACGCTTTCCGGCGGTGTTATCACTCTCGCTTCCTCCATTGTTATGTTCTTGCTTTTCTTCTCCGAGCTTCGTAACTCCTGTTTCCTTTATCGTTTTGTTTTTTCCTTTGTTGTTTCCGTTAGGTTGAATCTCATTTTTCATTTCCGTTTTTTGCTACTGTTTTAGGGTTGTATCTTCATGCTGCTACTGAAACTAAGCTTGTTGTAGATACTTCTAGAGGAGAAACGCTGCGTATTAATGTAATGTTTAGTTTAATTGAATTATTGTTGGAAATTTTGTATTATAGCGTGTTTATTGTTTATGTATGTTGAATTTGTGATGTAATGAGGCTTGGATTGGATTGGATTGTTTGTTTTGAGAAGTAATTGATTTTTGTTGTTTTGATGGTGAAAGTGCAGTTTGATGTTACGTTTCCTGCGCTAGCGTGTTCTGTAGTCAGTATCGATGCCATGGACATAAGTGGAGAGCAGCATCTGGATGTAGTATGTATAATTAAAAAAGCTTGCTGGTTTAATTTTGTTTTGTTTCAGTTTCTAGTTTGAACACTTGGGTATTGGATTGGTGGTTTGGGATGGAATGAAATGAAATGGAGTGGGAAATAATGAGATTCTATAGTTTGGATTTGCAATAAATAATGGAAGGAATAGAATTGAACATTATAGAATCTATTACATCCAATCATTCATTTTTTATTGCATCCGATTTTAGGTGTATGCAATGGAATGAAACACTATTAATAAACTACCCAAACAATGAAGTGAGATCTATATTCCATTCCGCTCCGTTTCATTCCGTTCTGATCCATTTTGCTCCATTCTGTTCCATTCCATTCCTCTCCATTATGTTCCATCAATCCAAACTTAGTCTTAAATGTTCTAATGCATATTCATCCTTGTGATGATTCTAATGCGTTTCCACCTGATTAATTTGTAACATGTTATTTGTCTTTTGTCTTTCGATGCACGAGTTCAGAGACATGATATAATCAAGAAAAGAATAGATTCTCATGGCAATGTGATAGAAACAAGGCAAGATGGAATTGGTTCTCCCACGGTAAATTTTATGGTTATTTATCTTTGTTTTGGCAAATGTATTATGTAATTCATTTTTTTTACATCGGTTAGTTGATTTCTATTGTTATTAGATTTACTTTCTTTTCATTTTTAGTTTATATATCTCACATTGTAAACTGTTTATTAAGTTTTCACAAGCTTGACAAGTTGAAATCATTGACAAGATATAGTCTCTTTTGGAAGTTCAATTTTATTAATGGGCGCACGTCTCATTCACTTTAAGATGCAATTCTATTAAGTTTTGCCCTTCCTAACATTATAATTATACTAGTTGCGTTTTATCCAAAATTTCTTTATATCTCCTGTGCTCATACTTATTTGTAGGGAAGTTTCATTATATCATAATAACTGTTTCTCTGCCCAGATTGAGAAGCCCTTGCAAAGACATGGAGGCAGACTTGAGCATAATGAGACTTATTGTGGATCCTGTTATGGTGCTGAGGCGGTAAGCCTGGTTTAAAGTAATGTTTTATATGGATAAGGATGTTATATACTTATATTTTAATTCCTTGTTTATGTATTGATTTCTGGATTAGAAGAGAGTGAAGTTTGTTTGTTACTTTGTTGCATAACTAATAAGAAATCTGGTATACTTTCCACTCCTAAAAATTTATGAAAACTTATTTGTTCTTGATAAACAGCTGTTAACAAGGCTGGATTAGTAATCAAGTCCCTGCAACTTTCTTTCTTCTAGCTAATAGTATAATACTACTCTGTACTTAAATATAAGCAAAAATGCACATGCATTTGGTCCAAATGTGGATAAAATACATTTGTTTTTTGCTTATATTTAAGTCCATACGGGGTAGTATATGTTCATGAAATGTTCATAAAAAACTGACAGTCAAACCTGTTATGAGATATTTAGAGGTAAATAGTCTAGTTTTGATTTAATACATGATAAGATTTTATGGCACCTGCTAATCCATATAGCTGGTTCCATCTAGTGGTAAAAAACTTAATTGATATTGCTGTAATATTCATGAATATAAATTCATGAAATATTCCTATTTCCTAGCATGATATTTGATGCCTCTACATGAACTTTGCACATATTTGTGCTTGCAGTCAGATGAGGAATGTTGTAATTCCTGCGAGGAAGTTCGTGAAGCATATCGAAAGAAAGGTTGGGGACTCTCAAACCCAGATGAAATCGACCAGGTTTGTCCTTATGACATTTTGACTTTCAACTTAATAGTATTCCTAAACGCATCAAACACATTGTTGACAAATATACTCTGGGTGGAAGGAAACTTCTTCATACTTTAATATCTATGCATAAAGAGTTCCAAAGTTCATAGTTTCTAAGTACTCAAACACATTGTTGACAAATATACTCTGGGTGGAAGGAAACTTCTTCATACTTTAATATCTATGCATAAAGAGTTCCAAAGTTCATAGTTTCTAAGTACTCAAACACTTGGAGAACCCTCCCTTAGAAGCTAGCAATCAAGGGGCAAGAAACAAACTATGTAAATACTCCACCCAACATCCCGTACCACCATGGCATGTGGGACTTTGACTCCCCATAATACCCAAGTCTCTATCAGCAGTTCTCAGACTCGCTGCCTGTATTATATTACAAAACCAATTATTTATATTCAAAATGTTTAACTATATTTGAGATCCTGATGACATTGTGCATATTTATATTAATCTTGATGTTCATAGTTTATAAGTACCCAAGCACTTGGAGAATCCTTAAAAGCTAGCAATCTATGAAGCCTAGATACTTGATACGATACCGACACGATACGGGTACGGAGATACAGGACAATTTTAAAATTCAAGATATGATACAGCCAAGATACTTTAATAAAAATAAAATAAAAATATATAAATGCACAATATAGAAACATAACTAAAATAATAATAAAGATTCACTTACTAGAAATGATCAAAATAAGTGACAATTGCATCCTTTCCCTACCAATTAGCATAAAACAAAAATATCACTAGTACTATCCAAAAAGAACATATTAATAATATTTAAAAAAGAACATCATTGTCTAATATTAAACACTTCACAATTAACTGTAATGGTGCGGTCTCCTCTCTCATATTCCCATCATTCGAAGAGACAATGAAGCTTTCTATTCTATTCTGACTCTCCATCTCTTGACACCTTCTCATTCCTTTTATGTATTTTTTATTATTTCTGAAAAAGAAAAATAGGAAAGAAAATGATAAAAAAATTGTGTTTGTTACTGTTCTGTCATATGTCGCCCGCACCTATTAATTCCCATCAAACGTATCAGATAATTAAAAAATTGCTTAATACTTCTCCAGTACGTATATTGGGAAATGTCGGACACGTATCAGTGTTGGATACATGTCGGACACTGATACTTTTGCAATTTTGGAGTATCGGGGTTTCACAGCTAGCAAATTAAGGGAGAAGAAGCAAACCACTTAAATACTCCAACTAACATCTCATACTCCTCGATGTGGGGCTTGGACTCCCCATAATACCCAAGTCCTATCAGTCAGACTCCTTGATTTATATTATATAACACACTATTTGTATTCAAAATATTTAACTACATATTTGAGATTCATTTAATCACATCGTGCATATATTACTAATCTTGAATTTCAATTGTAATAGTTTTTCGGCCACCTGCAATGCAGAAAATATGGCCAGTGTATTAGTTTGTTTTACTATGTTTTCACTGTAAAAGAAAGTAATTTTCCTGGTAAATCTTGTTTCCTTTATAGTATCATTTTTATTATTAAATATCAAGTGAACTGTTGTCCGTAAACAATCATTATTTGTAATGCAGTATTATTTGTTGATGAATAACCAAATATGGTTTGTCATTTTACAAGGAGTTAATCTTACAGCTTGTTCACATTGCTTGTTAATTATGTTTTCAAAGGATGGTGATTTTTTTTGTCACTTCACCTTCAATTTATATATGCACGGATATGTTTTCTAATTTGTTTGTTAAATATAATTGGCTGTGCATGATGCTTTTTTTTTTCCCTATCTATTATGCTGCCCAAGTCAAATTATTAATCTGATATGCCCATTGTGGTGTATGGTATGCATCACTTAGTGCAAAAGAGAAGGATTCTTAGAAAGAATCAAGGAAGAAGATGGTGAAGGGTGCAATATGTATGGCTTCTTGGAAGTAAACAAGGTGGCAGGGAATTTCCATTTTGCTCCTGGGAAAAGCTTTCAGCAATCTGGTGTACATGTACATGACATACTGGCTTTTCAAAAGGAGTCATTTAATGTAAGACATGATATGACTTTTTATTTACATTGGTGACTTTTTATTGCAATTTTACTGTATATATTTTATAGCTTGATGTCCACATGACGAAGTGCAGGAGTAACATGAATAGGGTTGGAGGGTAGGAAAGGAGGTGAGGTGGTTGGTTAGAAAGGATTGGGATTTGGAGAGGAGGGGGGAGCTTGAGGGGGTATGAATTATGATGAGTGTGAGGTGGGAATTCAATTCAGGGGCTGCGTATTTGGGTGATTTCCATCTTAGAAGGGGTGCTCTTACTTTGACAGTATCATTTACTTTCTTCCTTTTGCGAGGAGATTCATCTCCTCCATCCATTTTCATTTACTTTTACTATTTTATTCATATAATAGAGGATTCATATTCTTAGTTCTGAGTTGTTCATCAATTCCATTTCCAACAGTTTCAATTTATCATATTATTTGTTTCTATTAAACTGGTATCAAAGCATAGCCTTGGAGCTACTGGTATTATTAAAAGAATGGAGCTATATGAGAAGATTGGAAGAGACGAGGGAGATGCTAGTAGGACAAAGACACATGGAAGCTTTGATAAGAAGTATGGAGAAGGCATTGGATAAGCATAGCAGAGAAAGGAAAACGATACTGTAGAATCAAGGAAACACTGGCAGAGATGAAAAGGAGAGGAGCAAGGAAGAAGGCAGCAAGGTGGTAGCAAATCTGACTTTGAAAAGTAGATTAGTTGCAGAAAAAAGAACTAATGTTGGGAGAAACTAACGTAAAGTTCCAGAGAGGCTAGGGAGTTCAAGACTCGCTGCAGATGGAAGACCCATTGCTGCCACCAAAATTGTCGGATACCAGCTCGAATGTGGATGTGAAGAAAATGTTGATGATCAAAACTAGAATCAGATCCAAGCTCGTCCACTTTGGAGAAGGACATGTGACGATGAAGCTATTGTCATTGGTAATGAAACCTGACGTTACTCCAATGACAACATAAACAGAGGAGAAAGTCCTCATGGGATGCATTGTGGACCAGCAAGGAGAAGAGGTTTCAATCGCCGTGCCGGTTTGAATCTCAAACTCTGTTCAACCAACAAACCTTTCCGGAAGCATTCAATTTGAGGTCACTGAGGGAGTGGGATGGGTCTTCAACAGCGACATAGTTTTGGGCTGAAGTGCCAGTCCAAATACCTCCAGTAGAGCCACCAGACAGAGTTGCAGTTTTGATGCTACTTGTTGTGTACCACCTAGCTTGAGTACTCCAGTTGTGAGGGACTTGTTGTCGGCTGGACTCAAACTGATTTGTAATTGTCAGCCAACATATATAAAAGCTGCTGGACGAAAGCGCAGTGCAAAGAACAAAAAAAGGGTAACAGATTGGGTGCACGAGCCGCTGTCCAGGGTAATAAACAGAAAGAGGAAGAAAAGTTATTGGGGCAAAATGAAAAGGGTACCCGTGTGACCCCCTACTAAAGAAAATGAGTCAAACCCAACCCAATAATGAGAAAGAGGAAGAAAAGCAATGTTTTACCCAACTGAACTCTATGCAGATGGAGGGGAAGCACTCCAAAAACAAGAAACTTTAGCATTAATCTGTCAGGCTAATGTGAGGAAAAGAAAATGTGGTTGTTTATAGAGTTGAATAAGATCCAATACCGGGTGTTCAGACACAAGGCTTATTACTGCAGCAGCAAGGAGGATGTGTATTTTGGCAAAAAAATGCATCCCAATGCTCTAAAAATACATCCCAAAACAGAGCATTTGACCCTGCGGAAAGTTCTTCTGTTCATGCCTAGCTTGGTCATCTTCCTTCGAGTTATGGGACCCCAGGAATTTATTTCAGTTGTGCATTCCTTTCGTCTCGAGGACAAGTTGAATTTCATTGGACGCGGTATTGATAAGCATGTCAGAAATGTAGTAGTATAGAATGAATGGTTAGAAGGGAGAGGGGAAATAATAACAAAACAGACAGGCGGGGCGCGTTCGGGTTGGGAAGCAGGAAAAGAGGTGAGGTGATTTCAAAGGAATTGAGGTGGGATTGTGAGAGGTATAGTGAGCGTGAAGTTGGAATTGAGAGGATGTGTATTAGGTGATTCCCATCTTAGAGGGTGCTTTCACACTGGAGAGAGTATCATTTACTATCTTCTTTTTACAAGGAGATTCATCTTCATCCATTGTTATTTACTTTACTGTTTTATTCATATTGTATTAAGGATTAATCCCGAGTTTGTCATTAGTTTAATTTATCATTATGTTTGTTTCTATTTTAGCTAATGATAGTGGATGTGAAATATAAAAACAATGAAAATAGTTGGTTTTGCTAATAAAATATCTTCCATCACTCATCATATTTCAAGACTCTAACTTGTCTACACATCTAATACAGTTAACTCACCACATCAACAGAATAGCCTTTGGAGACTATTTTCCTGGTGTTCTAAATCCTCTTGACCGGTGAGCTCTTTATGTTCTAATAGCTGCTAATCATGTCAACTATTTATCAAACTTGACTATTGTATTCAAGACACATTCCAACACTTACTTGATTATCAGTGTGCATTGGACGCAAAAAACACCAAGTGGGATGTACCAGTATTTTATTAAGGTTAGTACTCTAGATTTGTGTGTACTGCATACTAGTTTTATTCTGCAGAGGTAATTTTCAAATTTTAATATATACGGGTAAGTCTAGGTTTAATTTACTAAATGATTACTGTCTGTCTATATTTCCACAGTCCAATGTAAAAAAAAGTTGCTTTAAACTTTAACTTTGTTATTTCTTCTGTTGGTCTTGGTCTATGGTTTTGATTTTGAATTCACAAGCTATTTGAATAAAAAGTCAATTACAATCTGAAGATGAATTTGATCCAATGATATATTGGAGTATATCTGGGTTGGCACCTGACTAGGTATTATTGATGACCCGACCCAACATTAAACTCTAACCAACACGCCAAACCTATATTTCACACGGTTTACTAACCAGAATCGAACTGCAAATAACCGAACTTTACAAACCAAACTGCCCAAACTTTGTTATTCGTGCGAACTGACGAACTCTCAGTTTCAGTCACTTATTCTCACCAACCAAAATTCAGTTCATTACCCAAAAAGAAAAAACCCTCACGATTCATAAACTGAATACTCAGTTATAAAAGAAAAATATTGTGTGACAAGGAAATAGATATGGAAGTTGACTCATACAAAAACAAACCATTGGGATTTTTAGAATGTTCGAGTGATATTTAAAATTCTAGGCTTTGCTTACTAAGTCGATTCGTACACTACCTGGCAGATAGTGATCTTATAAAATAGACTTGTAAAATTGATGATGATTATTCTTGAAAGAAGTGTTATGCCAAATATTTAAATTGAAAATTTTCCGTCTTACATTGAACTGAAAATGGTTTGAATATTTGGACTGGTGTTGGTTTGGTCCGAATTTACTGAACTGGTTCACCGAACTGTTATGACTGGCCGGTTTGGTTCGGAGCAAACTATTAACAGTTCAGTTCGGTTTTTCTAAATTATTGTGACAGTTTGGTTCAGTTTTTCCCCCGTAAGCCAATCCATAAACAGTCATAGTAAAAGATAGACGAGTATACAATGAGATTAGTTGTCATCAAATTGAATTTTTTATTATGTTTTTGGTATGACCATTTTTCTTTTCTCTTCTCTTCTCCCTCATTGCCTCGCACCAACACTTGGGTCATGGTTTGTGATGGTGTTGGCGTGTTTCCTGAGTTATCCAACTCAAAGAGGTAATGAGGTACCTTAAAACACCATATAAGAGGCTTCGAGGCGGCCTTGCTCGACCTCAGAAACACCAATGTACGGGAAGTGCATCAGAGCAGAGTGGGAGGGGAGGGAAGGATATGGAAGGCTGAGGTGAGGGACAGGGAGGGAAGAAAAGGTTCTGCCTTTAGGAAAGGGAAGTTGATGAGAACAATCTCAAGAGTGTGTTTCCATTTATATCCTTTGTGTGTATGGTACATATACCTGTAATTTGGGTACATCTAAACACACCTTTCCTCTAATAACCAATAGTTGCCATCATCCAATTTACAGAGAAAAGCTTATCTGTGACATGGGATTGCAAAGTGGCCAATTCATGAATTTTTTATTTTGCTAAATAGTTTATGTCTATTAACTAGCATTTCTGTATGACCAATTATGGGCTATTTAAATGTTTGCTAAGAGCAGAGTTATTAATCCTGGATAGCGGAGCGGAACGGGCGACCTCAAAAGTGGGAAAAACGGAATAGTGGGATAACTTTTTGTATACTAATAATTATATGATAATCTATAATATGTCATGTAATACTAAACTAATAACACAACACTCATACAATATTTATAAAATCTAATGTCAAACAAAAAACAATGTTTAATCAAGATTCAAAATATTATAGAAAATTGAGAACATAGTAGAAGATTCAAAACATAAAGATTCAAAACATCACATCTTAAAATTCAAACTTAATACTATTATATGAAAATTCAAGCAAACATAGAAACCATGTAGCATCATCATCAAAGAGGTCTTCATCTTCAAAATATTCCTCCAATTCTTCATCTTCAACATCTTTTTCAACGTCTTCTACCACCACTTGTTGTGCCATTGTCGCTCTAGGTGCTCTTGTTGCTTGTTGTGCCATTGTTGCTCTAGGTGCCATTGTTGCTTGAGATGTACTTCCAACTTCAAGTTGCCTTGACCACCTAGTGTAAATTAGAGGATCATAGCCCCACTTGCATCGGCAACTTGAGTCCAAGTTAAATCATGATTTGGATGAACCAAGTCTTCTATAGATTCACGATCATCTCCTACCTTTTCCATCTCTCCCACCAACCATTCGGTGTGGAAATTAATTTCATTAAATTCCATAGGATCAATTTTATCTTGAATTTCAAACCTTTCAATCAAAACTTGATTATACTTGATAAAAACCAAGTCTTGCAACCTTTGATGTTCCAATTTATTTCTCTTCTTGGAATGAATTTAAAATACAATAATTTAAAGTATTAATTTAATAATACTTGAGGTACTTTAATATCCTAGTAAAAAATTAATACTCACATGCTCAAAGATGCTCCAGTTACGCTCACATCCGGAAGCACTGCAACTCAAACTCAACACTTTAACAGCCAACAATTGCAACTCCGGAGTTTCGGCTCCATAAGACTTTCACCACTCAGCTGCAAATAATTGTAAAAAATCATTCGATATACATAACAAAAAGTGTCTCACATGTGACCAATAATTGTAAAAAAATGAACTTCCATCTTACCTGGAGCTAATGTCGACCTTTGTCTAATTGCCGCTCTTATACCAAAGAGACCTGGAACACCCCTGTATTGTGCCAATTGTGCTGAAATCAAATCTTTCACTTCATTGCTAGTGTCTCAATGCATTTACAGAGGCACATGTGAGATGATGAAGTTGACACTCTCATCTTTTATTAATGATTTCAAATACGACTTTGTACTTGCTGGAATTTGAATTGAAAGCCTTTTCAATTGATTCCTTCGCTACCCTATTATGGCATATATGTAACCCATTGTGAGTTTTCTTTCATTATCAACCATTCTTAGCACATCTTCAAGAGGCGCCATGCACCGACAACATCACTCCAAAATGATGCCATAAGTATAGTAGTATAGTAGTAGCTGCCCTTTGTCCTTTAGCATCCTTGGCACACTTGGAACTCGTCCATTCTTCACAAGTGAACATCTCTCTAAGCTTATTTTTTAGTTCTTGCATCCTTTGTAGACAAAGGAAAGAAGTAGAAAACCTTGTCACTCCATTTTTAACCAATTCAATATTGCCGGTAGGCTTTCTCATTAGATTCAAACAAAAGTATGGTTATAAATGTAGCCCGCAATCTTAATTCCATTTTGTATAACCTTAAGAGCCTTTGGAATTTTGCCTATGTCTTCTAACATAAGGTCTATAAAGTGGGCATGACATGGAGTACAAAACATGTTTGGCCTCTTCAAACATAATATTTTACCTGCCGCTACATAATTACTTCCATTGTCGGTAATCAATTGAGCAACATTTATTTCACCTATTTCCTCAATAAAAGTGTCCAACAACTCGGCTAGCTTTTCCCCCGTGTTGGCATAGTCAAAAGCATCGACACTTTTCACAAACATGGTTCCTGCCGGACAATTGACTAAGAAATTAATTAAGGTTCTATCTTTTCTATCTGTTCAACCATCTTACATAATTGAACATCCATATTTATTCCTTTGCACCTCATGGTTCTTCAACAACCCTTTTGTATATTCCAACTCATTTTGAAGGAGTGGAACCCTAAGTTCATAATAACTTGGCGGTTTCAAATGAGGACCATAGTTTTCAACATCAACTTAAAGGCTTTTGCATTTGCTACGTTAAAAACAATTTCACATGTATAAACAAAGCGAGCAATATATTGGACGGTTCTTGCCCTCGTTTCTTTATCACACGTATCATTGATGCTTGTGTCCTTAGTCTTCTTATACACCAAATCCAATGGTCCTTTAGTCCTCTTGACGGCCATTGAAGAGGTCTCAGCAAGCCTCTTTCCGGTTCGAATTCTACTTATTTCCTCAATATCATTTGTATCATCCGCATCTAATTGCACTAACGCCTCTTATATTTCTTTTTTTTAATTCTCTCTTTCTCAACCATGTCAGCATGTAATATAGCCTTAATATCATCCGTAGGTGTTTTCAAGCAAGGAATTACTTCAGCCTGAATTTCTAGTTGATGCCTTTTTGCTCTTCTTATTCCCCCACTATTTGTTACATTACAAAAATCACATGTCACCTTCTTCTTGTTACTCAAATCCTTCCAATAATTATGTTGTCGTCCGAATTACTAGCGGTTGATTTGAACGTTTGAAGCACACGAAGCAACCGAGGTAGAATTCGGTGTAGAAGATGCTGCCATATTATTCTAGAATAGAAAGAGAAACGAAACTCAACCATGCTACAACAGAACATAGAAGCTCAGAAGTAGAAGTAGAACAGAAGAGAAGAGAACATGATAGAAAAACTTAAAAAACAGAACATAGAATAGAAGAGAATATTACCTGAAGGTTGTGAGTAGCTGGTCCCGTCACCGAAGGAGGAGAAAATGAGAGTGAAGTAGTGAAAGGGTGAAAGCAGAACAGTAGAACAGCAGAAGCGAAATGGTGGAAGCAGAACGGCAGAAGCAAGGTTAACGTTAGGGCAGGAATGAGAGAAAGCAGAAAAATTTCTGCATTAAAACTATTTTAAAAATAGGGGTATTATAGTAATTTTGCCCCCCAAAAAAATACTCCGCTCAGCCCGGGAGAGACCTGCCACCCGCTTTAGCGTGAATAACGCCCACAACTCGTAAGGCGCAACCGCACCCGGGTTCTCGCGCGAGGGATGCCGCCCCGGCTGTCGCGCCCGAGATAGCGGCCACGACCGTGATTCACAACTCTGGCTAGGAGTAACCAAAATAACAACATAACTTAATCACCACTTAATCAACTAACTAATTAACAACTCTTAACCACTCTAAGTATACATTATTCTTTATCCGAACAATACACCCCCTCCCCCCCTCAAAAACAACCTTGTCCTCAAGGTTGCATTCTGCTAAAATGTTCTTTGGGTTGAATAGTTGTTGAAAATAAGGACCATCTTTGAAGTGGACAGTAACTGATTGAGGCCCACATTGAACACAAATGCAACATTTATTCTTTGGTTGGATTATATGTTGTCAATCGTGTCCACTGCAACACATTTTGCCAGCGATGCGTGTTCAATAGATGCAGCGATTGGGGCCACAGATCTCGTGGAAATCACACCCTGTTTGCGTCTACAATTAGGGTTTGCAGATGTGACCGTTATGTTCCATTTTAAGGGTATATTAGTCAATTCAACTTATTTTCAAGTAACCTTTTCTTGATGTATTCTACAGGTATAAAAATGCCGTAGCTACAAACCCCAACCTCAAGTTTATACCGGCAGAGCTATTCTACTACTTTTGACTCTACTAGCCCGGCAAAATGACTTTGAAATTGAACAATCATTCGTCAACCTTGTCACTATTTCATTTCACCAAGAATTTGATCGCTGCCCAGTGCCCATACACTGTTTTGCCATCAACCAATGATTCTTGATCTCCAAAATGTCATTTTTACCGATGTCTTCTTGCTCCCAAGAATCTCTTATGCTTTTTTTCATCATGCCTCTGTTTATCCATCCCTTGATCCTTTGCTTTCTTGGCTTCTACAATTCCTTCCACATCAGACCCACTATCTCCACCCCCTTCCGTAATTGATTTCTTGTCCAGAGTCTTCCAAATCCACGAAAATAGACTTTGGTGGTTTGAGTATGTAGAGAAAAGACTTGTAAATTCTGTAGTAAGGAGAGTAGACTAGATGGAGAGAAGACAAACTATTCGAGGAAGAGGAAGACCTAAAAAGACTATAAGAGAAATTATTAAGAAAGATTTTGAGATTAATGATTTGGATGGAAGCATGGGGCTTGATAGAATATTATGGTGAAAGTTGATCCATGTAGCCGACCCTACCTAATTGGGATAAGACTTGGTTGTCGTTGTTGTTGCAGTCTTCCTCATCCACCCTAGGCTTGTTCTTTGCTTTCAATTCCAGCAGGTCAGAGCAATTGTTAGGATCCTGTTAGAATTTTTTTTCTCAAAACTGGACATAATCAAGCAATCAAAAGAATGAAGGTTGCAAAAGAGAAACAAGAAGTCTCTATTTTACGATAATAGGAAAATTATAAAAGTACAAAAAATTCTCAAATGAGCACTCCGCTTTCACACTGGATTAACAAGTCATAAAACCCAATTGATTTAAGCTATCCTCTCCACTCTACCAACTGAGGGCTAAGAATAATCAAAATAACAACATAACTTAAACAACCACTCTAACAAACTATATTCAACTAGCTCAGTTGTCTAACAACTCTTGTCTTAACTACTATAATTATCCTTTATTCTTGTACTAATGGGCAGTGAGTTTCAGGGACTGCCAGTCAATAGAAACTGACAGCTTTTGTAGAAAATACAGCAATTGGAATTCTGTAAGATGGTGGTGACTGGCGATAAATAACAGTCACCACCAAAACAACTTCTACCACCATCAAAGAAAACAGATACCGTTGTCATTTTTCAATTGTTCATTGTCTCTATGATTTTACGCTTCATGTGACTACTTCAAGGCATCGGTGTTATTATGCCCGCTCCACTTACAATCATGCACTGTTTTGCTCACTCCTATGGCATCCAAATATCACTGCTCCTTCAGTGTCGTTTATTTGCTTTTCCCGTGTTTTTTTCTTCTGTTAATTTCCAACCACATGTTGTAGGATGATAGCTATATTTGTCAGGTCTTATAAAACAATTTTGTTGTGGCTCTGGCTCCTGTAAACTTGACTGTGGATCCACCCGGTTTAAGTTATCTATTTACTTGCTGCATGCTTTTTCTATATCATGATAAATGCTCTATTGGTTTATTACCATTGAGCAACAACACTTTAATTGCTTTACTTGTTTATATTCTATCTAAATATATTCTATATCCTTTTTTTGCTGTGTTCCAAGCTGTGTGTTTTCTAACAGCTTTTGTTCTTTATATAACTAATACAACTGAAATATTGATTTTTTTTCCAAAGGAATCTCCTGTGATACAATATAATATTTTCTTTTCACACTACTAATAGCAACAATGAGGATATCATGGATTTTATAATACCAACTAGGTTTTATTAATAGTTCTCATCTTCAGTAAGCCAAGCACCTTTTGGGACATCTCTCAAGGCATTAAAAAACCTTGGGTCCGATACGCCACCTTTTGCCTTTGACTATTACGTGACATCTGGAAGATGTTTTACTTGCTGTTCAATTCACAGTTTTCTCAGGCTAATTTTGTTGTCTGTATAGATTGTGAGCCTTTAGAATTGGCACTTTCCTGTGTAAATATTGCACCAGCAAAAACTATTATATTCAAATTTTGCCACTTATTTCATGTTGTTTTTCAGGTTGTGCCAACTATGTACACTGACGTCAATGGGAATACTATCCAGTCAAACCAGGTTATTGATCTTATAGATGTTACTTTTTAACATTTCTCTTTTGAAAATAACAAGTCAGTTAGAACACTTGAGAAACAAGTGTGGGGAAGTCTCACTTTGATTAAAAAAGTGGAGACTTAGAGCATTTTTAAGTGAGAGAACCCACACACCTATCACCTTAAGGTTTTGGGTGAGTGTGGTGTCTCTCTCACAAGGTGTGTTGCTCATAAAGAAAAAGCCCTAACGTAAATGCTTCCCCATGTTGAACCCTTTGAATTGATGACCTAACATTCTCTTGTATTCTTTTTACAATTACAACATTATTAAAAGTGAAATTGCTTTTGCAGTTCTCTGTGACAGAACACTTCAGGACAGGAGATGTGGGCCATCTGCAATCGCTCCCTGGAGTTTTTTTCTTCTACGACCTTTCCCCAATTAAGGTGTTTTTTTGTTTTTCAAAATTATCATTGCTGTCTGGACAGATATGTGGAATACCAAAATCAATTACTGCAACTAGGCTTTTCTTTACATTTTTCTTTCAAGTTTTGTTTTTCAAATCAATTTCTCTTTTTTTTTCTTTCTTTTTCTTTTCCCTTCATGCTTTGATCTTGATTATAAACCAGAATTGCATTTTGCAGGTTACTTTTACAGAACAACATGTATCATTCTTACATTTTCTTACTAATGTGTGCGCCATAGTTGGAGGTATATATGGATCTTCCCCTATTCATCTTCAATCTTGCATAATTGGCTTGAATAAGGTTATGGGACTTGGATAATTGATTTGCATGAATCATGGCATAACAATGCTTAGCTGTTTATGGCATGCAGGTGTTTTCACTGTTTCTGGAATACTAGATTCATTTATCTATCATGGCCAAAAGGCTATCAAGAAGAAGATGGAACTTGGTAAATTTAACTGATAGTTCTTCTCTCAGAACATACCTTGTTGTTGGAGTACTTTCCAGTGAATGGCTCTCGAGAGACAATCTATTCAAAGAGAAGATCAACTAGTGAATCAAATCCTCAGTGCGGTTTCTTGCGTTCTATCAGTTTCAACATAAGGATTTTGTCCTAAATCTGTCATCAATGAATGTTGAAAAGCTTGATCATATCTTGTACAACAATGCCATGATTCCTATCTTTTCTGAAACAGCTGTAATGATGTAATTCATGTTTCATTTACGGCCATGTACTTGCATAACTCTCTTCCAGAAGCATCAAAAGGAAATGTTATTGGAAAATTTAAATCTAAAATGATAATTTAAAATCAGGTATAACTTTGTAGCTAGCTACACTTCATTTTCTGTTTTGATGTGATGAAGCTGTATATTTGCTCTTAAAAATGGAGTGGAATGGAATGAAAATAAAAATGTTGTTATATTGTTTAGGTATTTTTAATGAAATAGAGCAAGCAAACAACAATCTTAGTGGACGAATAAATCACACAATAGAGAGTGGCACTACTCGGAGAAATTAACTTGTCACTCCCACATTATACATGTCACTTCCATATTATATATGTCACTCCCTCAAATAATATTAAAAAAAATCAAATTGAGACTTAAATCATTCACTACAGATTTCAAACTCAAGTTGTCAATTGGATTTTTCAAAATTTTGGGTGATATTGAAAATTTTGCGAACAAGTGATAATTTATGATAGATGTGTGAAATTTCCGGTATTTTGTATCAGAAATTTTAAAATATCTGATATTTTCGTGTCGGAAATTTCAAAATATCCGGTAGTTTTATTCATCATTTATACTGGAAATTTTGAAATTTCCGATGAATCATAGAATACAGGAAATTCTGAAATTTTCGATAGTTCAATTTTTTTTATAAAAAAAAGTCGGAAATTTAGAAATTTTTGGTAGTTTATATTTTTCTTATTTTTTATATATTTTGTAGTGAGGATTAGAGGAAGAGATGATTCTATTGCAGGACGAACCACTGATAAAGTTGATGCTGAAGCCCGTGTTGACGAGGCAGAAGCTTCAAAGCTACAGGCTGGACGCCGTCCCCCGACCGGTTATCACCAGAAATGGATGGCTGAGCAGAATGTGCAGTTTCGCGCACTCTGCCATCGGGGTCTTAGAGTATCCACTGCTGAGGAGGTACATGCTCCTACTGAGGAGGTACAAACTCCTGTTCCCGTGGTACAGGAGGTTGTTGCTGAGCGAGTTAATGAGGTGTCCACCACTGATACAAACATAACGATTCGTATGTCTACAGAGTCATCAGTACACACTGGTGGAGGTTTTTCTGGAGAATCTTCAGACACGTCCGTGCTGACAGGATTTGCGGACCATGTCGCTTATAGGATATGGCATGGTAAGGTATATATTTTTGGTTTTGTTTAATTGCATAAATTTTATTTTTGCTTACAAGATTTGATGTGATGTATAGTTTGTTTTTTCTTTTTACAGGAGTGTCTGGTGTTGAAGGTCGCTTCTCATGGTTCGAAGTTGAAGAACTTCTTTGGCAGTCCCATGCCTGAGGAGGTGAGAAGGATCGTTAGCGAGTTCCATCTTCTGGAGTTTGTTGATTGCTCCTTGACCATGCTGGACGCTGTTGAGAGGGGCACCCGGAGACATCATCCTTCCATCTTCCATTTGGACAAATGACGATGACTTTAGATGATGTGGATGCCCTCTTTCATATTTCGATTGCTGGTATATTTTTTACACCAGTTTATAGGGACCAGACGACGGTGGTGCGCATGGTTATGGATGATTTAGAGGTTTCTGAGTTGGAGGTGCTAGAGGAGTTTAGTGAGACTCGGAGATTTCACCTTCGGATGTCTTGGCTGAGGAGGATGTATAAAGAGCTTGTGGAGGCAGAGAGGTACGAGGATGCCACTAGGATGTACATGCTACATATGGTGGCATGTACTCTCTTTGCGGACAAGTATGAAGTTTATATAGATGGGAGAGCCATGTGACTAGACACTTTTCTGAGAGGTGTCTACACCAATATGATTATGTACAGGGCATCCCTCGTCCAGTTTCAGAGTCTCCAGCTGGTGGCATTGATAAATGGTTTCAGAGTCACATCCTCACCTCCCCCGTGAGATCATGGATACAGTCGCCGAGGTTCAACAACCTGGGCAATGCGAGGATGGATACTTGGAGTGGTTTCACAGTGTGTCACACCCTTGGGTTAACCCTCGGGTCATACCACCGGCTATAACATCTGATGTTCAGGGGCCTTCTCGTGCTAGCCCATCTACCGAGCTACCACCACCACCACCACCTCCACCACCTGCAGGAGATCAGGACAACCGCCTCCAGTTTATTGCAGTTCATGCTGACAGTCTCATGGGTTCGGTAAACCCATATGGTGAGATCTATAGAGGTTTAGCTAGGTTAGCCGACGTAGTCCGTGGATGACCTATGTAGATTATTTTATTTTGGTTGTGTTATATGTATATTTTGTGACAAGCAAACTTCTTATTTATTGCATAATATTTTGGTGAAAACATAGAACAATATGTTGTACCCCAAAATTTGCCCTCCCATATTCTTCAAGAAATTGCCAAGCCAAGTCACAAAATTCCCCAAGGGTTGTACAGTGCAAGAGCCCCAATACAGTCAAAACTAGGGTTTGTGTTCTGATCAAGAAAATGAAGTTTTCAAAGGCCCAACCAAGTCTCACATGCCTACAAATATGGTCAAATATCCTCATATCAAGTTTCAAGCCATTCAGCTCAAAATTGCACAGTCAAAACCCCAAGTTGCACTACAGTCAACTGTAGGGGCAAAATGGTCATTTGACAGTCAAAAGTTCAAATTTTTGGTCGACATATCATTTTGAAGCCACAAACATCATTTGATCAATGCTTGATCATGATTCTCAAAATTTGGCTCAGAAAATCATCAAGATGCAAAAAGTTACTATATTTGGACAGTTGAAAAAGTCAACTGAAATTGACCAGGGCATAACTTTCACATGGATTATCAGAAAAATTCCATCCAAAGCTCATTTTGAAGAGAAAGACATTTCCTACAACTCATCTTCATACTTCAAGTCCAAGAAATGCTCTCACAAAAAGTTATCAATTTCAACATTATAGGTCATTTTCAAAAGTCAACAAAAAGGGACTTTAATTCAAAGGCCATAACTTGAGATTGGTAAATCAAAATGACATGGGACCAAAGACATTGGTTAGAGGACTCAAAGACCTTTCCAAAATGTCCAAGAACATGAGAAAAGCTTAAAAATTGAGCAAGTTATGCCTTGTGGAAGTTGGGAAATTTTTGGATATTTTGAAAAGTCAACTTTGATCCAAATGACCTAAAATTGCTAATGGGCCCATTTTTCTTCCATGATTCATCATTCCAAGCATATGCACGACCACTTGGCCCAAAGGGAAGTATTTTCTCATTTTTTATTTATTTATTTGAATTATTATTTATATTAATTCATTTAAATTATTTAAATACATGAAAAATATCTAACTTGCCCTAACAAATCTTTTTATACATGTTTTGCCATCAAGATTTCGTGCACATGCTAATTAGGAAAGAATTGGATTGATTGGCATAATTTTGACACAAAGAACATGTGAAAAAGATATGAAAAGATCTTAGAAAATCAATTATCAAAAACAATGAATTACAAAAGATTTGATTGAAATTTTTGACCTAACTTGTTCACTACATATGCCTGATGAGAAACCTAATGCCAATAGACTAAAAGCTGCGCTAAAGAACACATTGAAAACTTGGAATTTTTGTCAAAAAAAGCAAAACTGAAAAGCAGGTTCTAGGTCGATTCAAAGGACAAGACTTGTTTCATTAGCATCCTCAAGTCTCACTGAACGATTCTCAATCATTAACCACCATCAAAACTCCAAGAATTGGTAGATTGAACGTAAACTGCATCAAGAAAATTGCTTAATCGTATTTTGATTTTGAAGCATAATCATTGCATTTTTGTTATGGATTGTTACTCATTGATGTTTTCTGATGCTAACTGTACCATTTGATTGTGTTTTTGTGCTCTCAACGCGATTCTACCATGTTAGCTTTCTAGGGTTTGCAGGTTTTTGAATTAGGGGTTTTCAGACCAAGCAAAATCAGACCACCATAATGCCATGGTTGTAATCAGTGGACCTGGACGATCCTAAATATGCCCTCGCGACAAATTTATTGACCCTATAGCGCTATTCGCTATTTTTTCTAAAACGGCCTAACACAACGCGTCCAAAACCGTGGCTGTTGCTTGTATGTTTCAGGGATGGTGGAGAAGACAAAGTCGTGTCAAATGGTGACAGGTCCATTCAAAAATTCGCGCGCTAACCCCCACTAACCTTGTTTTTATTTTATATTATTTGATTGTTATTATATATTAACAACGCGCAATTGGCTCAGTTGGCACGCATCAAGGCTTGCAATACACCTGACCTGGGTTCGAGTCCCAGGTCTCATGCTTTCTCAATAATGTTTTTTCTCTAATATTCAGGTGAAGCGCTTATGTTATGATCCATGATACACCTCCATCATCAAGCCAGCCACGTTCATCTGGAGATTTAATCAAAGGCCAAGAATCAAAGAACATGCTACGCTCCAGTCAACACATCAGCGTGCTAGCAAAAAAGTCAAAGAAGGCTATACTAAATGGGCCAGAATTTCACAAATTTAACCTCACAATTGGGGCCTGAACCCCCCCTGGTTTGCAATATTCATATTTTATTTTTATTTTTTTCAATTATTGCTTTATTTATTTTATTGTTTTGACTCAATTAATAATTTTTTTTACAAAATACAAAAACTTCATAAAAAATCAGAAAAAGACAAAAAAAACATAATGAAAATTTTATTTTAATATTTTCTTGTAAATAAATGCATGTAAAATTAATTAGTATAAATTAGGGTTAATTTTAATTCTTTTATGATAAAATCTAAAAAATGTAGAATTAGGGTTTATTCAATTTTTTCATCCTTTCTATTATTTTCTTTTCATAAAAAATTAAAATTATTTATTTATGCTTATAATTAAATTGTATGTAAAAATTAGGTTTAATGAGTGTTTTATCCCTTTTTAATTTTCTTTTTTCACCATAATATTATTTACCTTATTTATTTTCATAATTAAACTTGTAAGTTAATTAGGGTTTCACTTAGGTTAAAATTTTCAACATTTTTCTCAATAAATTTAAAAGCCATTAGAATTAGGGTTTGCATCCAATTTTCATTTTAATTAATTCTTTTTCTATTAAATCTTAAAAAAACATAAAAATACCAAAAACATTCTCTTTTAATTTTTAATCTTAATATTTTGCAAAAGGGTCCAACGCCCATATTTTTAATTGTTTAATTTCGCATATTTATTTTATTTCATTTAAATAATTATGTATCTCTCCCAAAGCTTTGTAACATCCACTTCTCGCACTTTTCAATTTCTCTACTTTATTTGCCTCTTTACTTTCTGTCAAATCGGGTCCGGTTTAATTTTGGCGATGTGGACCCGCGCCATTTGTAATAGTTTAGAATTTATTTTTCCCGCAAATATTAACTGTTAAACAAAGCATGCAAGAATGAATGGCCATAATAAAATCAAGCATAGATCACTTTAACATGACAAGACAAATACAAATGAAAACGACACACTAGTCGCACACACCACCCCTAGGGTACGCCTCACTGTTGCCTTGCCTCGAAAGGTGATCGTCGAGTAGAGGATGTCTTAGTAAGTCCTCATGATCCGGGAACCTGGCATGAGGGTAGCTTCTAAGGTGTCTTCCCATTGCTCTGGTGATCACCATGTCCCGAACCTCGAATTGACCCGAACACCTCCAACGGTGGTGCTACCTACCTCTCAATGGTGGGATGGCACTACTTTAAAGGACATTTACACAGACGAATTCCTTAGGGTAGGTAGGTTCTCGTAGATACTTGCTCTCTTCAAAAACAAACAAAAATCTTTTCACACCGACACTTTTCAAAAGCTTTCAAAGCAATTTTTCAAACACTCTGACACAAGAGTCGATCTGAAATTTTCAAAGAAACTTTTTAAAACCCACATTGAAAAGCAAACAAACCATTTTTGAAAACACAATGAGCAAGTATCTAAGAGCCCATGGATAACCATGGATAGAAAGGGTGCTAATACCTTCCCTTTCTATAACCTACCTCCCGAACCGAGAGCAATCTCTTTAAGGAATTTTTCTGTGCTTTTGTCCTTTCCATTTGGAGAAAATAAAAGACGGTGGCGACTCTTGCTTACCGCGACATTTCGCGAACCAGCGTTAAACAGTCAGTTCCAGATCCACCGATCACAGAACTGGCGACTCTGCTGGGGACTATCTTATAAAGTGGGGTGTACCTTAGGATTAAGATCACTGTGTTTTCAATTGTCTTCTTTGCTTGCTTTATTATTGTGGGTTGTATCGGAGTTACATAGATCCTAACCCGGATCTGGGGATACCCTGTTTAGGTAGCATAAGCTGTGAGGGACCTGTCCGGCGTAGACCGACACAGGTGAAGCAGTGGCTACGTTGGTGTGGCACCTTAGTCTGTACCGATATCCCTTGTGTCGCAACGAGGAGAATATGGGTCTTCTAAGGAGTCATTAAGCACCAACAACCTTAGAACCTTAATTGACACAACTTGGCCTTTAGAAT